ATGTTTCATGTTTAGGACAGAGTTTTACGCACATTGGTCACTGAATAAATGTTGATAGATTGTGTGCATGCAGTCTATCATGTATGCAAATGTGTGCATTTAATAGTAACTCTGTGGTTTGGTTTTGGTTGATTTGTACAGCACTGGAGTCTATTGCTGCTACCATTGTTTGGAGAGCTGGAGATCAATAAATGGCTATTCTCACATCCCCACTTCTGTCCCACAGGCCCAGGGTAAAAGGTTAGAACTTTGACTTCACTTTTTGATAGGTTGCCAGGCTGCCAAGCCCAACAAAGACCTTTCCACTTTTTAAAGCTCCTTTTCAAAGATTGCCCCGCCCCCTTTGATAAACAATTCCTTAGGCTCAGGAAAGATAGATTTGAGGTTTCTATCTTAAAAGGGCAGTTCTTTTAATCAGTTTATTTATATGACTATCGGAAACCCAAGGAGGGGTCCCTATGAGTCGGGCAAATAACAACAAACAACAACATCTTTCACTTTGAGTTTATAAGCTGACCTTTTGTGATGGTTGTGTTAACATGCCATTTCATGTCATTGATGAAATAAATTGGTGAGAGTACAAAATTGGAAACCCCCCTGATTAACAACCAAATTTATCCTACAATACCAATCCTTAATCTTAAGTATCATTATCTATTTCTCATAGTTATGCCTGCCTTATTTGGCTCTTGTAATGATTAAAAGAGTTATTTCATGTAGAATTCTTGGAGCAGAGCCTGGCACATGATAAACCGTAAATGTCATGAGTATCCATTTGCCTTTCTCCTGTCACTCTGGCTGTCACTCTGTCCTTCTTTGCCCTGCTCTGCCCACATGCCCACCAGCTCCTTCAGAAGTAGGAAGGGGATTTTCTTTGAAAGGTTTTTATATGCAGCAGTTGAGGGCACTGGCTTTAAAGTCAGACAGATGTGGCTTTGAATCCACACTGTACTGTTCACTAATTGCCATGAGCAAGGTGTTTACTTTCTCCATCCTCTGTGTCCACATCACTAAAATAGATGTTGTCATCGTGAGGGATAAAGAGCTAATGTTATGTGTACAGTGTTTGGCATGGCAAACACGACAATTTTTTTTTTAATTGTTTTCTGTTGTATAGGCAATACCACATTTGCCATTTCAACATTTTTCATATAGACAGTTTCATGAGATCAGTTGCATCAAACATATTTTGCAACTATCACCAACATCCTTTATCAAATTTTTCATCCCCATCAACAGAAACCCAATGCTTTTCTAAACAACAGTTCCTCCCCATTACCCCTCCTTCCTGTGCTTGGTAACCACTGTTAAACTCTGATCTCTTTATGTATTTGTGTGGTAGTTAAAGTTATTTTTCAACTTGGCTGGGCTTGGTTTTGAGTGGCTGGGCAGCTGGATGTAGCTGTTCCGCATGATAAGACTGGTAATCACCTCCATGGTAGAATCTACTTGAGCAGCTGAGTAGCTGCCTTAGGGGTGTGGTCTGCTTCTACTATATAAGAAGAAACATTGACAAAGGTCTCTGCAGCTTTTTGGCACACTTGGACCCTGCATGTAGCCAAGTCTTCATTTAGCAGCCTGCTGTGTTTCCTGCTGATCTTGGGACTGTCTCTGGACTTGAACTAGTGGCCTACCAAGTGGTTTGGTAATCTTGGTACTGTGCCATTTTATTTGTTGACTTTGGATTTGTCAGCCTCAGTAGCCAACAGCTCTCTGAGTTAAGAGGAGCCTCCAGCCTCAGTGGCCCAGGAGCAAGAGGCAGAGCTGAAGCCCAAGGTCAGGGGGCTTTCACCTAGCCCCAGAGCTGGCACTTTGAACTCACACTTCTAGCCTCCAGAATTATAAGAGAATAAAATACCACCCACTTGTGGTATTTTCGGGTAGAGTGGCACTAGAGGTTACAAAACAAATTGCCTATTCTAGGTACTTAATATTAGTGAGATCTTACAATGTTTATCCTTTTGTGACTAACTTATTTCACTTAGCATGTTTTCAAGGTTCATACATATTGTACCATATATGAGAAGTTCATTTCTCTTTGTGTCTGAGTAGTATTGCATTGTATGTGTATACCATGTTTTTAAACACTAAGTATTGTTATTTGATGACTAATATAACAAGGTCTCTGATACTACTGATGCTTTGTCATAAGCTCCCATCAACCAATTAGGAGGAGAGTAGGAATCCTTTGAAAATCATAAAGCCCTGTCCTCTCTGGCCAGTACTCTGTAGGAAGAGATATCACAAAAGAAGCATTCAAGACTTTCTTAAGTGAGATGACAATGGAAGTACAACCACGTGCATATATAGGTTTGGCAGTTGGTATTTCTGCACATATTTGTATGTGCTGCATATATAGCCATGTATATAATAGAACATACAGGGGGTACAATCAGGAAAACTTCTTAGCCCGAGCCATACACCTCTAGGGACTAAGTTAACTGGGCTTGAGGGCTAAGGACAGAGTTGCTGAGACATTGAGGGGATTGCAAATAATGTCTATGTATAAATTGTTGAATGGAAAAATAATTTACTTCATAAATTTTGACCTAAACCATAAAACGTTAACAACAAAAAGACTGAGTAAATGATAAACTAGAATGACAGGATCTTTTCACTCCCTGACTCTCTTCTCTGACTCCAAATTCACTGTTAGAATTTAGGATGCCTTGGGAACTTAGAAATAAACCCCTTCTTACTTGAATTTCAAGACATACCCACTTAAAAAAATTCACCACTGTAGGCTTATTTTTACTTAGATTTTGTTTGTATTTCCTGTCTTTAAAAATAGGAATCCTTGTTGAATTGGTATATTTGCTGTGTATATTCTCAACAAAGGAGCGCTGGTGGCGTAGTGCCTAAGGCATTTGACTGCTAACCAGAAAGCTGGTGGTTTAAACCCACCAGCCACTCCTCGGAAGGAAGGTTGGGCAATCTACTTCCATAGAGATACCACCTTAGAAACCCAAGGAGGAGTCGCTATGAGTTGGATCCAACTCAACAGCAGTGAGCATATAGAGTTTTATTCTCAACAAAAACAAAATAACTAAAATCACTTTAAATGAAAAACTAAAAAAGTATGAATCCTTGCTCTCTTTTAGGATTACCTTCCAGGGAAGCCCTATGTTGAACCAGGTTTTCTAACACATTTTTGGCATCCTTAGCAGTAGCATCTCATCATCAGAGAGTTTCCAGTTAACTCTTCTAGAGCAGACATTCTCCTTCTACCTGCATTTATAAGAAATGTGGTTTCCGAACATGCTGAGAATGAGTCTTCACTAGTTTTGTTTTGAAATGTCTTTGAAACATGCTGCATGAGACTATCTAAAGCCGACCAATTGGTTGCCTGGTTAAAAACTACTCTGAGATCAGACTGATTATAAAAGATGAGCATTCTTAGGCTACAATTTCCTTTTTCCACTATTCTGTGTATTACACTGGACTGTCTATAAGGCAGTGGGAAAGCAGGAAAGGGAAGACTAGCTAAATGCCTTTTCATTTTACTTCTTCTTCTTGTGTGCCATCAAGTCAATTCCAACTCATAGTGACCCTATGAGACAGAAGAGAACTGCCTCAGAAAGTTTCCTAGGCTATAATCTTTACAGGCACAGATCATCAGTTCTTTTCTCCCGTGGAGATGCTATATAGGTTCAAACCACTGACCTTTCAGTTAGCAGCCAACGCTTAACCCTTGTGGCACTTCATTTTACTTACATGTTATACAGGGTTTTCAAAAGTTAGGCACAGCAACAAACATATGAAGAAATGCTCACGATCATTAGCTATTAGAGAGATGCAAATCAAAATAACAATGAGATACCATCTTGCTCCAGCACTAGTAT